TCTATATGCTGTTTTCTGCTGTTGCTCTAGTTCTTCTTCTGTATTCTTCTATTAAACTATATGCAACTTTTGCTGTTTTGTCTTTCTTGTTTGTACCTCAGGTTTTGTTTTCTAGTCTAGTTGTTGAGTTTTCCTACGTTTTCTTTCATAGAATTTTTGGTCGAGAGATCTACAGAAAAGAGTTCTGTGTGCAGGTTCATAAACTAACTATATTCTTATCTCTGTAAAATAGTTATATTATTAAGCTTAATAAGTTAATAAAATAATTACTATGAAATATAATCTTTAACAATAAAAAAAAAGTATTACAATCTTCAAATGATTGTAAAATTAAAAAATTTGTATAATAGTATTATTTTTTTCTTTAGTTTTAATTTTTTTTTTAAAAAAATTATAGTTATTTAATAATAATAAAAGGTTTTTTTATTTATTTTTCATAATATTTAGTAAGATAATCATTATTATAGTATTTTTGTAATGTTTTTCTTTTGTTATTACAAAGTTTATAAACTTTATTATTTAATTTTTTTTAAATAATAAAAGATTTAATTTTTTTATTTTTAAATTTAGTATATTAAGAATAGTTTATATCTTTTCTAATTATTTATATTTTATTATCTATTTTAAATATTTTAGAATAAAGGATGTGGTGATCTAATAAAGTAATCAGGTTGTTAATCTTTCAAGTAATATGTTAAATATTCAAATTCTATTGATAATAAAAATTTGGATAATTACCTATATAATACTCATATTATAGCAACTATTACTAATAATTGGGTTAGGATACCTATAATAACAGTTGCACTAGCATAACTGGCAAATCATAGAGCATCTGTATAACCTGTTATACAAAGGAATGCAAACTAGCATCAGGTGGTGCAAACTCTAGATAAATCTTTGTAACTGTATAAATCTGTTGAAATTAGGTAACAAAAAATCTATTTGCGAAAACCTAATTAGAAAAATAGTCAGATCTTTAATGACACTACTATAAAGACTAGTTCAAGAAAACAGATACCAAGATCATAGTATCTAGTTGTAATATCTAAACAGACAAGAACCTTTGACTTGGGAGTCTCAGAGGTACTACCAACCAGGCTACTAAAACAAACTGAAAGAAAAGATTATTAGGCTACCTCAATATATTAATAAACTAGTTATAGTTCTACATGAACTATCTGAATTGAGAGTTTGATTAAAAGACTAGATAAAAGGCAAGAGTATACTAAAGTACTAAGATTATACTATAAAGTAAATGCTAGAATCTGTATAAACTCTACAAGGTTATAGTAGTTAAATGATATAACTTTGACTGCAAGTATTAGTTCTGTTATAATAATATCTAAATCAGTTATAAAAATAAATACAGAAGACTTTGAGAGATTTACCTCAAGGATAAAATAGTTCTAAGGTTAAAACAATAATCTAAGCATTTAGATATAATTCAGTAAGATTAATACAGGTTATAGGTTCAAAAAGTTTAAAGTAAAACATCTAAGCAAAAGTATTAGATACAACAATTAGTAAAGAATCTTCAGATAAACTTATTAAATAGTAATATAAAAAAGTTATATATATAATCAATTGTATACGTTTCTGTAGTAATTCATTGAATCATATTGCTAAAAGTTATTAATAAAAGTCAAAAGACCAAAAAGATCATTTTAACATTAAAAAAAAAAATTTTAAAATGTATTTTGATATCAAAAGTATTTTTTTTGTTTTTATTTTATTTTATTTTATTTTTTTAAATATTAAAATAAGTACTTATGACCCAGAATTTTATTGTTAGTATATTTGGCTAATAGTTGTATTACAACTACAAGAAGCAATTGTAGAAAAAATGTATAACTAACCACTCATATAACTTTAGTCATTGTCTAATTTGAGTAGTTTATCTAAAGATTCTACACTAACTGCTATACCTGGAACCTGCTTATAGGTTTCTTATTTATCCACTCCAGTTTTTATATCCATCCACCTACCTCTGTCTATCAATGACTCTGGCTGATATTAGTGAAAATATGCTATAGTTACTAAGTCTTTAAAGCAGTTCTTTAAAATCTTTGACCTTGTACTAAACCTTTTAAAATCTTCTATATCTTATTTTTACAGCTAATACATTTTTTTTGTTTTTATTATAACTAGTTAATCTTTTTTTTTATATTATTTTACAATTTTGATAGCTTGTTAATAAGCTTAAATGCTTAATATAATATACTATCTTGTAGATTATATTTTGTTTTTTTATATAATATAATAAGTAATAAAGTTTTAATTATAAAAACAGTTTATTATTTGTATATAAGCTAAAACAAGGTATATTCAGTTGTAACATATTTTTTTGTTTAATAAGCAAGCAGTACAACAAGTATATATAAATCTTAATTATTATTTCCTTTAATTTTTACAAGCAATTCATATAAGATTTAATTAAAACATTTAATTATTTTATTTGTTTACAAGTAGTATAGTAAAAAAAACTTATGTTTGATAAAAAACTTTTCACGCAAAATACAAACAGTTTACTAATAAAATTTCTTTGATTACAAAAAATAAATTTTTTTTTTTATTATTAAATAAGTAATTAATTACTTAACCAAATTGATAATTATTATTAATTAGCAATTTTTTAAATACATGCATAATTTCTTATTCTCATTTATAACCTTAACTGCAAGTATTAATCTTGATTACAATAGTATCAAATAAATTTTTTAAGAAAATTTTTTTGAAACTTTAAACAAAAATAGCTTAACCAAAACTTTATCAAATTTAATAAAACCTTTTTAAAATAAATGTTAAAAGTTTGTAAAATTTATTTAAAAAAATTTATTAAATTTGATTAAGTTTTTGTTGAGTTATTATTGTTTAAAGTTTCAATAAAAACAATTTGTGAGGCATGACCTCACCTTTAATATGGTGCTGGAAGCCTATACTTAACAGTTACATGAAGTGTTTCAAATTTTTAAATGACTATAACTTTTTATATAAGAGGTCTTAAAAAAATCCACCTGGTAACTTTATAGAGCTGATATAGCTCTATAAAGTTACCAGGTGGATTTTTTTAAGACCTCTTATATAAAAAAGTTATAGTCATTTAAAAATTTGAAACACTTCATGTAACTGTTAAGTATAGGCTTCCAGCACCATATTAAAAAAAATAAAAAAATAAAAACAATTTGCTTGATTTCTATACCCTCATGTAAAAAAAGGTATATTTTGGACTACTATATAAACGTTTATCTTATGATACGTATGCCTGATCTTGAAATTTGATTGTTCAACGGATTCCAGGTTTCACCCTGTTAATTTGTTTTAGATTAATCCTGGACAAGGCAAAATACCATATCTCGACTATGAAACCCCATTTTTTCAAGCAATATATATATTTTTTGATATATTAAAAATAATGAACATTAATATAAACTAAGAGCGATATTTTTGAATGGAATAGTTATTGGGCAATAACATATATTAACCACCCCAGGCGAAGATGACTAAAAAAATAAAATGTCTACACATATTTTCTCATAAAAACAATATTTAATTACAATATTTCAAATAAAAACAGAATGGGTGCATTTTTTTATTAAACCACCTTTGAACACTATTTCAATAGTGAATGAGTCTAAATAATACATAACATAGTCCAAATAAATTCAAAAATCACCAGTTAATCGATTGAAAAAGATTAGATAATTTATTGTTGCAACTTATGATCAACGCGTACTAATGTGGTAATAAAACTTCACTTTCTTCTCCTGATCGACGTAAGAAGTATTTAAAGACAAAAGGTTTAAGAATGTACAGTGTTGAGATGGTGCCAATGACAATAGCAGACCAATGAATAAAGGCATCTTCTTGACCAGCAGCAATACCAAACAATGACCAAGCAATAACAATAGAACCAGAAACATCACCCCCGATTTGTTCAGCATAAAAAATGGAATGCATTCCAAGGAACAATAATCCTAAAAAGACTAAAACTTTAACGAAAAGACTCGGATCTTGATCAGGTAATTTTTCAGGACTAAAAGCGACAAAAGTGCTCAAGATAAAGACAACAGCAATCCAAGCATGGTAAAGAGAAAATGGAAAGTGAATCAAAAGTTTATCGCCAACGTTATGAGGTGGATATTTCCGTTTGAGAGTCCAGTAAACGTGACTAACTTGACAACCAGTAATGACGATGGCAACCCATGAAAGAACAAAGAGATCATTGGTCCAAAGAGCGAGCCATGCAGTATTCCAGAGTGAGATGGATATGAAGTGCCAATGAATACCATCAATAACGACTTCACCGGCAGGAGTGAAGAATTGGTAAATTACTGTAAGAAATATCACGTATATCACATGATTTTAGTTACTATATATTACGAAATATATTGTAGAGAAGATATTGTATACTCTATTTAAATGATTACCAAAACATCCTAATAATAAATGAATAAAAACCCAAACACCAAAAGTGAAAGCGGCTGGGGTAATATAGGTAGGACGGGTATCAGAATATGGGGATTTGTCCTATTGGTCAAAGAAAAAAGTTAATAGCAACTTTACAAATGAATTCCATCATTTTTTCACATTCTAAATTCGAGACTAATACGTACATTTTGAGGGCCAAGGCCGGAATAAAGGTTAGTGCTCAAGAAACAAAGGTAAGCGATTACATTTAAAATCTTTATAAGAAGTGGGTACATGTCTTCGAAGCTTTAAAATATCTACAAGTGAAAAAAGGATACAGTATTTACAGGAAAAGATTGTGGCAAAAATTTTTTTCTTCTGAGGGGGACAGAGATAAATGTGTTTATATAATTTACAAACAATAATAAAATTTTATTTAATTTCGCAATTCACGTGGACTTTAACTGTAACTAATGAAGTGATACAGATAATCTAGAAAACTGGTTCATGCAATAATTAATTTAGTCCAAATTAATGATACATGTAACGTTGTAAAAATTGCTTAGCCCCTACTGATAAAGTGATTGGCGTTATGACGCATTCAATGTTTCCTTCGTTTTACAATGAGAACCTTCTTTCTCACTCTATATATTAGCGTTTATCAATTCTTTGGCGGGAAAGGAATCAACTACACGAGATTATGCTAAAAACGCCTTTTTAAAATCTTGTGTATGCTTAATCTTGAAATGGTAAATCTTGCACTCGATAACACTGCTTATCATTATTGTGAGATCAGGTGATTGTGTGAATACTTGTTGATCATGATGTTAAGGATGAGTATAAAAATATCGATATATTAACATTGGGTCTTTGCCTAAGTTATGAGATATGTAAATTATATGTCTCATAACTTGATTCTCAAAGCAAAAACCCTACATGTCTAAAATGTAAGTAAAGTAGCGTACTTGCTATTGGTATATCAATGCTCAAAATTGATTAGATTAAATTTAATATTATTAGTGACAATATTTGGTTTTGAAAATTTAATTTGTTAAAAAAAAGGTTTAAGTTGTATACTATTAATATATATATAAGGTTTAATTTATACGTGATGATTTTTATTTATTACTACTAATATATATATAGTTATTACTAGTATTGTTATATTTCGAAAACAAGATTAAAAAACAAAGGTTAAATACGTATAGTATACTAAGTAAAAATATTTAGAACGTTTAAAATCTTATCGCTATATAATTTAAGATTATAACTAATTTTTATCTTAGATAATATTATTAAAAATAAATAGTTTAAGGTTAAAGTTAAAGTAAAAAGATTAAATATATATAAAATTTTGTATTAAAAACTTTTACTTAGAAGTTAAAGTATAGTTTTTATACTTTTTTTTTTTTTTTTTTTTCCTTCACTTGAGCAGTCTTGTTGGTCACCTTTATTATGTATTTTTGTATTACATACATACAAATTAGTTTATAAATTCTGATCCAACATCCTGCAGGTGCTTCTATAAGTCCTTACGAGCAATCTGCCTGCATTGACTGTCTAACTTCAAAAGAAATTAAAGTATATTAGAGGCCACATCCAACCATCGCTCTACAATAGGATATTGCCAATCTGATAACATCTTCATATAGAAAAGTGAACAAAAACAAAAAAAACTTATATATAAAAAAAACACAAAGGTATAGGGATAAACAATAAAAGATACAAATATAAGAAATAAAAGAAGGAAAAGGGAGAAGTGAAAAAAAAGAAAAGATATGTGTGACTCTCGTCATACGACTATTGGATGGTCACAATTATAAGCCTGTATCGGGTTTTTAAAAATTATAAACTATACTAAATAGAAATAACTCTAATATTTTTCTATCTATTAGAATATTTAACAAAAAACTATGTAGGATAAAACTTCGACTTGAATGTAGAGAGTCAGCATGAAGTATTAGTTAGTCTGAAGATAGTATTTCATAGGGTTTCAGCAGTTTGAGACATGTGTATGAGTTGTGTTTGTATTGCTGTATTATTTACACAATTCTAATTAGGAAATAAATACTACTGACTGTTTTGGTGTTTTATATGTTGATCTTTTGGAGGGGTAAACTAAATTGCCTACTTTTTACAAAATTTTCCTTAAAAAAAAAAGAAGACATAAGGTAAACCAAACTGTAGCTTTTGTGAGTGCTTAACCCTTCTGAGAATTCTTTGTAAGTTTTACAGTTGTATAGAACTAATATATCCAACACTGTTGTTTACTTTATGAAAGACTTTCAGCTTTCATTAACCATTTCTTCTATAGTTTCAAAGCTCCTTTAAACCATTATCACAAAGTGATAGCTTTTTTTTCGACTCTATTTCAATGCTCACTATGTATGCCCAATGCTTCAAAGAAGTTTTCATAAGTTTAATATATTAACTATATCATTTTTCTGTAGTTCAGCATTTTGGAAAATTTAGTTCAGATGATCGTTGAAAAGAGTTGTGATAAAAAACTGATTGGATAGTTTTTATATTAAAAATTTGAGTTATTAAAGTGTTTATATATATATATTTTTTTTTTACTTTGTTTTTTTTTTTTTTTATCTTTGGTAGTCATGATGGTTACTAGTCAGAAGTTTATTTATAAAAGTTTAGTACAAACAATATACAAATATAACTTTATTTAACTCTTGTGTTATTATCATATGATTATTTTGTTGGTATTTATAAGCAACCTATCACATCAGATCTGCTAAAATCTGGATTAAGCTTATTGTTTGTCACTTTACAATTAAATAGTATTAATCTGATATCATCTGTTCATAAAAAAATAAAAAACTTTTTGTTAAGAGGTGAATATATTAAAAAAAATATATATAAGAAAAAAATATAAAAAAAAACAAATATTGAAAAATAAAAGAAGAAAGATGTTGATAAAGATCAAACAAACAGTTACTAATTATAAAGACTATATCAGGCTACTAAAAATTATATATTATTAAATACAATAATCTCTAATTAATATATTTAATATTAAGGCTTATATTCTAAGAGAAACAATTTAACCAAAACTGAACTGATAAAAAATTTTTCATATGCTGGTTATCTTAACTTCTTATTACTAAATTCATCATTCTGTACAATTTATTATACTTTTTACTAGATTTTATATTTTAATACTTGTTATATTTTCAACTAATTATCTTATTTTTTACTAAAAATTTCTAATCTTATTTTATTATTATGTTTTTTTCTAAGACATATATACTTATGCTTTATTTATAATATAGGTCTTTTCAAAATAGAACTAATAAACAAGTTTGATTTAAAAGAATCAACAATGCTGATTTTGATGAGAGTAAGTTAGATTGTCTACTTTAATAAAAATTTTTTGAAAAAAAATAAGAAATTTTTTTAAAACACAAACTGTAATGAATATAGAAGTTTACATTATATAGAATAGCATATCCAACTAGATTTTTATTTTTGATGTTATTTAGATATAATTTAACAAAAACTGTTTTAGTTGTAATCAAATTTATTTTTTCAATAACTTTATAAACTTTTACTAAAGAGTCAAATCTATAAGGAGTTGTTTTTTTTAACTTTTTTCATATCACTTATATGCAATCTGAAACTCTTAAATTCAGATACTATATGGCAAAGTTTTGTTATATATAAATATACTAATTATATAATTTTTGTAAATTAATATATATAAAAAAATTAGTGCAAAGAATTATTTAAAAAGTTAATTTTTTTACTTTGTTTTAACTTTATAAAATTTTATAAAATAATTAGTTTTTATATAATTAATTAAGATCAGAATAAATTTAGTAATAGTTATATATAATTTAAATTTTTTTTGTATTAAAACTAATATTTAAAAATATAGCAACTTAGTAAAGTAGACAGGTTGTTAACTTCTAGATGACAAATCTAATATTCAAATCTTACAAATAACAAATTTTGAAAATTATATTTATATTATATATCTGTAATATTAAGTATATCAAATCAAATTCTATTTGAAATTAGAAGTTTAAGACATCTATATAAAATATAATATTATATATATATAAAAATATTAAAAACTAATGTTGTATAAGATTTTAATATAAAATATATAATAAGACTATTAGGTACAAAAAACTAAAAAACTAAAGAAATTAAAACATTTAAAAATTTAGAATAAAAAAGTACTACAAACTTTTAACAATATTATTAAATTAATAGAAGTTTATAAATTATTTTCAAAAAGATAGATGAATAAATCAGATAATAAAAATATAAAAAAACTATATATATCAATTAGATTATTAAAATCATTAAAGAAAAAATATATAATTATATTATATTAAATTATTTGGATTAGTAGTCTAAAGAGTTTTATTAGTTCTAAAAAATAATAAAAAAATATCAGAAAAATATATATTAGAATTTGGATAAATTTTACAAAAGTATAATATTTTAATAATTAGTTTTAAATATAAGTATTAATTTAGATCAAAATAGTATTAGATTAGTTATAAATATAAGATACAAAAGGCTTCAATAAGTTTAGTACTTAGTTTTAAGTTTCTTATATAAATAAATTGCTTTAAAAACTTTATAATTATAATATATTTGTATTAGTATTAATCAAATTAGTTAACAAAATAAATAAATAATAGATATAAGAACTAAAATGTTTAAATAAAAAATCTATAAACAGGTTTTAAGTATAACAACTAGTATAAAACCTTTAAATAGACTACTTAAATTTAGAAAACCTAACATATATAAATTTATTTGGCATGTTTATGATATATTACTATTTGGTATAGATTTATCTTGAAAATAAAGTAATCATAAAATTGTAATAATAACCTTGCATGACTCAGTAATATTAACATAAGTTGCAAGTTTAGAGTGTTTAAAATAAAATACTCAAACAAAAATATTAAATATAATAATTAGTAATAAACCTTCAGACAGACTCTTTAAATAAATAATATAAAAAAATTATATATGTAGCCAATTATACACTTTTTTTGTAATAGTTTATAGAATTACATTATCAAAAAAGTTATTAATAAAAGTCAAAAGACCAAAGAAGTTACTTTTTTTAAAAAAAATACTATATTAGCTATTCTAATTTAATTTTACTAACTTTATACAGTTATCTATATAGTATCTAAGTTCATATCTTTTATATACTTGCATGCAGTTATTTTGACAACTACTTGTAGTCAGAGCATATTATTAAACTACTACATAAACAAAAATATTTCTAAACTTAATATGATATCCTAATATTAAAAATTCTTTTTTCTATAATTATAACTATAAGTTTTATTTATATATTTTACTTGATCTTGTTTTTTCTGTTTTCTAATTTAATTATATTTAGTAATATTTTGTTCTTTATAATTTTTATCTTTTTGTTATTGTACTATTTTTAAATTAGTTTTACTTAGATATGTCTAATTTTTAGAATCTTTTATCATTGATATACTTGTTATTGTTTTTTCTAAAGGTTTCTAATAATGGTCTAGAATTTATAATAAACTTATATTTTAAGCCAAACTTGTTACTACTATTAGTCTTTTGATTAATCTATATTTTAAGCCAAATTTGCTACTATTATTCTTATAAATATCTAAAGTTTTAATATTATATAATAACTTAATTTTATATTTACTTTTAACAAAATATTTTCTTTTATAATAAGAATTAATATTTGTTATATTTATAAACAGAACAATTCTAATTATATTTAAAGAATTCTTTTAACTTTAATAATATTATATTATTATTTATTGCAAGCTCTTAGCTTATTTAATAATATTTGCAAAACAATTTTGATTATGCTTAAGAAGTTATACTAATTTCAGTAATATTATATTATTTTGCAAATCTTATCTTATATTAGTTAATTAATTTTAGTTTTATTTGTTTTAGACTTCTATATAGGTATAATCAGAATTTAATTTGATGCCTTTTATTTGTATAAAAAAATATATATCAATTTTCAAGATTTTACTTTTTATTATTAGATTATTTAGCTATACCAAAAATGCTTTTAATTTTGATTATACTAATCATTTACTATAGACTGTTTTCATGTTTATTACTTTTTATTCTTGTTTATTTTCAAATTACTTTTCTAATTAAATCTTTTTTTGAACTCAAATAGAATATATTACTTCTATTTTTATTGTTTTTATTATGTTAATAATATTGTTTTTTTCTTATTTATTTAATAAATCTATTAAGCACTATTTTTTTATATAATTTAATTAGAAGACTAGATATTATCTTTTTTAATTTGTATTAATTATTTTACATTTTATTTAAATTTTTTTTATTGTTTTTTTTTATTTATTTTTTTTTGTATAATCTTTTGTTAGACTTTTATATTTTTTATTTAAGTATTTAATTATTATCTGTATAACTTTAAAAGTTTTATATCTGTTTTTTTACTTAGTTTTTTTTTTTAAGGTCATACTTTATAGCAGTTATTTTATTAATATATATTAGAATTAATATTAAAACTATTTTTATAATAATAAAAATACAACTAGTCACATATGCAACTTTTGGTTAACTATTTAAATAATTTATTTTAAAGTTCTATACTAGATGCTATATTTATAATTTATCAAAAGATTATTCATTTAAACCTTTTAATCATCTGGTCTGTTAATTATTTAACTACTATAAAATTTCTTATATATACTTAACCAATATACTGTTTAAGTAATATAAGATTTTTTATTTTTAAATTAGTATTCTATTTTTTTAATCTAACTTTTATAATAATATTGTTTAAGATTTGTATTATTTTTTTACTTAGGTTTTTCTAAGTAGATTTTAGTTTTTTTTAGTTTTAAAGATTTATACAATTATAAGAATTTATTTTAAGTTTGCATTATCTGATATCAGTTTGTATTCCTATTATTACAAAGTAGATTTTAGCATAACATATTATATAATAATATTAGTAGTTATATATATATTTATTATTGTATTTTATATATTATATTTATTATTAGTTATTGGGGTTTTTTTTTTTTAAATATTAAGATAAGTACTTGCGACTCAGGATTTTATTGATAGTATATTTAGCTAATAGTTGCATTACAACCACAAGAGGCAATTATGAAAAGATTGTTCAACTAGCTATTTGTACAACTTTAGTCATTGTCTAATTTAAGTAGTCTGCCTAAAGGTTTTATACTAGCTGCCATATCTGAAACCTGCTTGTAAGTTCTCTATTTAACCACTCTGTTCCTGTATCCACCCATCTACCTACATTTACCAAGATGCCTTAGTTAATACTAGTGCAAATATGCCATGATCACTAAGTCTTTAAAGCAGTTCACTCATATGAAGAATCTTTGACCTTGTATTAAACCTTCCAGAATCTTCTGTATCCCATTTTTATAGCTAACCTAGTATCACTATAGCCAAGACCAACACTAGTGATTAGGATGTACTATTTAACTATTATGCCCTTGTAGAGTTCACCCCAATCCTGGTACTGACTTCACAACATATCTCTACTACTTTGGTATTCAATTCAAGTTCTACCAAGCTCTCAAACCAGATAGCTCAGAAAGGCAGATTATAACCATACACCTCTGATTTACATGTTTGTTGGCATGTAATCTTTTTTTTCATAACTCGAAAATTCTAGCAGCCTGGTTGGTTCCATTCAGTCTCTCTTCAAAAGCTGGCTCTTTGTCTAGTTTCACAAGTTTTAGCTCTGTTTTATAGATCTAGTCTTTATAGTAACACTGTTGAAAGTTCAGGTTACCTCTTTACTTGAGTCTTCCATGTAGGCTTTTATCTTTTTACCTGGTTTCTATGATTTACATGGCCTAAGGACTTATCTTGGGTTCACACCAGCCAGTACTAGTTTGTGTTCTTTTATACAACATTGCATGAATGCCTAGACCTTTTAGTTATGCTAATATAACATAGATTACAGGTGTCTTATCCCAACCAATCACAGAAGACAGTTAACTGTAATATAGAAAGAATTGCAAATTTTTGTTGTTACTGGGATTTGAACTTAAGACCTGCCACTTGGAGTTGACAACTTATCTACTTCACTAGGTCACTACATCTTATTAGTTATTAGTTATTAATTAGTCAATAGTTATATTATATAGTAGATAGATAAAAGGATCTTAATTGGTTATTAAAAATATAATATAGTCATATAATACTAAATAACATTTTTGATATTACTATTATCTTACAAATTTTAAGTATTTTTGTACAAGTTTTATATATTCTAACACCAAATTACTGTACTAAATACTGCAATACAAAAATTCCAAGTATTTTTGATATGAATCTCAAGTGTTCTTATATAAATTTCAAATATCTTTGCATAAATTCCAAATGTTTTTGCATAGATTCAAGTATCTAAACACAGGTTCCAACTGTTTAAGTACAAATAACAAATAATATAAACAATATTTTCAGTTGTCTCTGCACAGTTTTCATTATTTCAAGTATAGTATTAAGTAATATTACTTGAATTTTCACTATCCTGTTAGATAAAAAGATATATAAAAGATATTTTTCCTTTTTCTTTGCTAATTTGAAGTTTTTATATTTTGATCTAGATTTTTCTAACTTTACTTCTAACTTGTAAAAATGATATTTACTTTCTAGAATAATTTTTATAGACAAGATTGTCATTATGTGTTTATTTAATAAAATTCATTTATATACTGTTACTATCTTGAATCATTTGTCTGCTATTATATAGTAAAGTAAACTACTACATTTCCACTTTATATATATTTACAATAGTCAATCACTGTACTAGATAATCTTGTTACTTGATTGTATTGTATCAAGAAGGCTGTAATTCTGTAATACTATATGTAACTAAGGTTATATAAATGTCTTGTAACTTGTTAGTTATGTTAATGTAACTATAATTATAGATATCTTATTTTAATTAATTAATAGAATGTTGTTACTATAATGTTATATATTATATAGATAATTATTTAAATTTTTGTTATTAGTAAGTTTTAAACTCAACTTAGTCTTTTTATTTTCTTATTTGTTTTATATTTTTTTATATTATTTTTTTTATATTTTTAATTAGTTTTTAAAGTTTTATTATATGTTTTTTTATTGTTATTTTTTATAACTATTTTTTTTTGTTAGTTATTATATTATATAATTTTTTTTTAGTTTATACTTATAAGTATTGTTTTTTTATTACATTTTATATATAATTTATTTTATTTATTTCTTTATTACCTTTTTGTCTATATTTTTGTATATGCTTTAATATTTTTTAAAAAATTATTTTTGCAAATTTTATATATAGTTTTTTTAGTTTTTTATTTTTACTTAATTATATAAATATATTGTTTTATTTGTTTTTTTTTTAATTTTTGTTTTACAATTTTTACTTGTTATATATATAATTTATATTTTTGATATTATTATCTTGTAATAACTTTTTATAATTCTTTTTGTTTTTTAATTTTTATTTTTTATAAACTTAATACTAGTTTATTAATATAATCAATTTCATTATTATAAACTTTTTTTAATAATTATCTAAATCAAACTTTTCAAAAAATTGAACTACAGGAAAACAATATAGTTAATATATTAAATTGTATAAAAACTTTTACAAAATTTAAACTATTTTAAACTATTTTAAACTATTTTAAATTTTTATTTCTGTTTAATAATTTTATTATTAGACAAATAAATTATAATAAACTGTTAGATAATTTTGTTTATTGTGTTAATAAAAAGAAATAAGTTATAATAACTGTATATAGTTTATTTTCAACAATTTTTTAAAACAAGTTAAATTTTTATTATTGTGTTTTATAATGTTATAACCAGAATTTTTTAATTTAACCATTATGTTATAATAAAAATAAACTGCAATTAGTAAAATTCTAAGTATCTGTTTATACAAAAAAATTGGTTTTATTTCTAAACTGGTAGTAAGCAATAATGAAGTTAGCATAATTAAGTAGTTGAAGAGTGTTTTTCACATAGAAGTTTGGTGCTTAAGAACATATTTAGTAATAATATTATTGTTATTTATTTGTTATTTATTTGTTATTTTAATGTCATTTTATAAAATTTTTTTTTATCTTATTATTTTGTTATGGTTTTGTATAAATTTTTTTTATAATAAATGACATTTTATTTTAAAATAACATGTCATTTACAGTCATTTTCATAAAAATTTTTATGACTTAGTCATTTGCTATCACTGCGTGTATGTACACGGGTATATAAGATCTGGTATAACGTAAAATTATTTCTTTTTTTGAAAAATTGGTTATACGAAACAATCTTCTGGATTCTAAAAAAAAAATTTCTCGAGGTTTACTTTTTTTTTTAATAGAAATTATTGTTACGTGGTTTGTAAATTACTACCTGTGTACAATACACCACGTGTAAGCTAAGAAAATTTCTTTTTATTAATATTATTTTTAAAGAAATTTTATAATTTTAATAACTTTTTAAAATTGATCAAAGTACAGATAAAAAAAGAGTATAATGCAATATTATAAAATTTTGTTAGACTTTTTGCTTATATTACAAACGAATAAGATCTTAAAAACTTGAATATCTTTACTTATTGAAAAATTATTTAACTATTTACTGTAAATGCTAATATTATATGTATAGTTAATTGCGACCCTTTCTAAATGTGTGCCTCAGAGCTGGTTCAAATAGATGTATCTAAGAAGTTTTAACTGTATATAAAAAATATAAATTTTTAAGGTGTAAATACCGTAAAAGAAAAAAATATAATAAAGTCAACAAATACGGATTTACGTACGTACGTATCTAATTTAATTGAGTTTTTTTTCAATATGGAATTATAGTTATACGTATATACGTAGTAATATTTTTATTGCCTAATAAAAAGATTTTTGAACTATACGTATTTACGACAGTTTCGCTTTGAGCATGTAGAACATATCGATATTTAAATGTGGTTTAAAACCAATAATGTTTTGAGAATTGTGTTACATAACATCGATCATTAGCGAATAACACATCAGATATATATATACATACATACGTATATACGTACGAAATTCGTAAATACATACGTAGAAACTTAAGATGGAAACTCGATTCTTTTTTTGGTAAGTTTAGAATTATTTATTATTAATTACAAAGATAAAATGAAATAGACTAAGTGTTTGGTTTAAACACAACGTTAATATGCAAATTTATTAATGATTGATCAGAGCTATTCCATTCGCATCCAAAATTTTACAATATCTGATTGCATTTTGAAAAATTATAAAATAACAAAACAACTTACTTGGTTCGGACTCATCTTTCGAGAAGAAAAATATATTATACGTATTTATAAAAACTTTTTAAAATTACCTTTCAATTAGTTTGTCGCCAAGAAATAATAATAATAATTATTATTATATAATTAGTATATTAATAATAATAATATAATTAATATATAATAATAATAATAACAATAATAATAATAATAATAATAATAATAATAATAATAACAATAATAATAATAATAATAATAATAATAATTACAAATTTATTATATAACACTAATCTTATTATTGATGATATTTCTAGTATTACAGAATTTATTAATATGGGCTATACTTTTGTCTACTCAAATAGTACAATAACGTATCGTCTCACATGACTGCTTTTCTTGCTTGATGTTTAATTTGTGGTTATTTGTTGATTAATCATCAATTGTATAGTGATCAAACATTGATCAACTGATCCAGCCAATCATCGAACAGCTAAGCCATGTTAACATCAAATGTGGTTGAACTCCTTATTCTCAATTTTTCCAATAAAAAAAAAAAAAAAATTAAAAAAATTCACAGCTTTTTGGCTATTTTAAATTTGTATCTCTATTCATTCATCTTAGCACATTGTTTTCAGATTTATATAATATCCGACTTCTTTTCTATCACAAGTTATGTCTAGAATGGATGAAGCCCTTACTAAACCAAGGAATGTCACTCATACTTTGTATAAGCTTTATAACTGGTTGCAAATGGGTATGATTGACCTCAATCCCGAATTTCAAAGAGGTACCTTTTCCTATTTCTTCAGAGCAAAAGAAAATATTTTACAGAAAAAAAAAAAAATACATAAATGGCCGCCAAAGCATTTGTTTAACATATATTCACGTGGCGCAGCGCGGCTTAGTGGAAATATATAAGAAATCTCTCTAGAAAGTTTCCTTTGGAGGTTATATTTCTTCTGGCATACTCATTGACTTTCCTGTCTATTTCATATAATGTTTTTTTTTATGGTAATATTGTTCCGTCTTTGTAGATGTTGTTTGGACAGGTAAACCAACTTATTCAATTATTTCCTCTTTTTTTTATTGTCAGCGAACTCTTCGTTTTTTACACTCATTTATCGTCTAACTTTATAAATAGGCATGAAACAATCGCATTTAGTAGATTCTGTTCTTAACAATTTTTATATTCCTCCTGTCATTTTTTCGTGCAAGAAATTGGATAGTAAACGATGGATGCGCGTATGCATTGATGGAAAACAGCGGCTTACTGCAATCAGAAAGTAAGTCGAGAATTTAGAATCATTCTATTTATTAAATCTGAACGTCTTCTTTTAATAGTATATGATTGGGTGTGCGGTGTCCATCTGCGGTACATTTCGTGTGACCGGGATTTCTTTAACGTTGCGCTAATCAACTTCGATAAACTTAGGTTCATGGATAATGAAATCCCTCATCTTAGCCCTTCAGATGGTAACATTTCTAAACGATATTATAAAAGTATTAATGGTTCAAAACGTTCCTTAACTGAAGCGGAGAGAGAACTTTTTGATTGTAGTGAACTTTTGTGTGGTAAAATATCCCTTTTCCTGTTTTTTTTTTGTATATTTAGTATAATGTTAATAATTATTATATATATTCTCATTTAGTCGAGTATTATGATCTTACTTTGCATCAAGAGCAAGAAATCTTTAGCCGCGTACAACTTGGTGTTGCCTTAACACCAGCTGAGAAACTCCAGGCTATTAGTAGTCCAATGGCTGACTTTGCGCATACAATTTACACTCAACATCCTTCCATATCTGCTATAATGGATACAAAACGTGCCCGACCTTTTCAATTAATTACCCAATCTTTACATATGATTGAGATGGAACCAGAAAAATTTAATGCTACTCCAGCCACCATCACCAAATTTTTGAAGGAAGATCGTGAAGTTCCTGAATCCCTTCGAACGTTAGCAAATCAAGTCTATCGAACGATAGAAGAGATGATCGAAGATGATACCGAACTATTCCATCGTGATAACAAATTAGCTCCCGTAGAATTTGTCTTTCTAACATACCTAATTTCAAAATATCCCGGTCTTCCGATCTTCCAATATCAGAATCGTCTTTTGGCGATGAAGAAACACGTCCGCGCAAAACATGATGATATCAGATTCAATAACAAGGTGTACGATACATTGAAAAAGTTTATTGATAACATGGAGTTCGAGTATGTACCTGCAACTCATCAATCTAGTAATTCTTCTTACTCTTCTCCTGTTCAAGCATCATTTGACACTCAAACTTCGTCTGCGACCCCTCGTGTTGGTAGGAAGAGGGTCAAGCATAATCCTGTTGAATAAGGACGAATCCATAGATTCGGTTGTTTATATCATTTTAAAAAAATTTTTTTTTTATTTAGTTGGGCTGCTGTTTTTATAAAAAATTATTTTAATGGTTGATGGTTTAAAGTTGTTGTTATCTTGTTTTCTCTCCTTTTTTCTTTCTTATTATTTTATTTTTTTATTTCTCTTTGATGGGCGTTACTGTGAATAAAAAAAATGCTTTGCTTGTGGTAACATTCTTATAGATATAAATTCACCTTTGATAATAGTTTTTTCATGTCAAGTAAATCTTTTCTACCTACATATTTTCTTATTAAAATATCTAAATTGGTTTTTAATTTGAATAATTTGTTAAATAAAAATTTACGAATTGACGAATTGTTTTTACTATGTAAGGGAGGGTAGTGTATGATGACGCACTTAAGAGTTGTTTATATAAAAATTTTAGGATTAGCATATTTATTTACAAAATTTATTGAAATAGATTACTCAGCGAATTAACTATCTGCCAATAAAAACCAAATTATTGAAATGAGCGTTCAAAATCTACTCAAAAAATGCTATGATTTTTACATTTGGGGGGTATTATGGCGCACCATGTTCACTATGTGCTTCGTATTTTACGTATTATTGCATCCTTCCTTCGGACATTACCCAAATGAGGAAATATATTATAAAAATTAACAGAAACTTAATACTGTCATAAGCAATGTCGACTTTTACTTATATATTGTGATTTAGCAATTAGAATCAAAAAAAAATTATATTATTTGATTCGTCTCAGTAAGACGAATCGAACGATACCAAAATTACTCGATTCTGATCAATGTATCACGAGTTATCGTCAAAAAACAAGAGTGCGTCACAATACCCACCTGCGTCATAATACGTACCTACCCTCCCTTATAAAATATTGATATTACACAAATTTCTATTATTATTTTTTTTTTTACAGATCTGCATTTTGATTGGTCCGATAATTCGTGTATAAATCAATGATACATTCTCCAAAAATTCTTTTATTTTTTATATCGGTTAATACTTAGAGAAATGGTGTCCTTTAGTTGTGACCAGTGCGCTGACGTTATCAAGAAACCTAAGCTTGATCAGCACCGTATAAAGTGTCCTGTTACCACGTTTACTTGCATCGATTGCTCTAAAACGTTTGTGGGAACTAGTTATAAGTCTCACACGAGTTGCATTAGTGAGGCAGAAAAATATCAAAAGGGAACGTTTAAAGATAAGGACAAGAAAGTAAAAATACATTTATAATTATACAATTAATGATTTGTTGTTATTACATGTCTTAATATATTGTTTTCTTCGCCATTAATTCAGAAACATGATCAGGATAAGTCAAAGTTATCACAAGAAAAAGAAAAAAAAAATCCTTCTGAAGAACAGTCAGAACCCAAAAATAAAAAGAATCATAAAGGATCAGATATATTGAAAAGAAAGCGCAGAACTAACAAAAGAATCAAGGGACAAAATCGTAGTAGTAATTAAAGCTTTTATTAAACGTTTTTTTTAATTTATAAAATTCTTGTTATATTATTATCTATTTAATAAAATTATTTTTTGTTATAGATTAATACAGTATTTTGATTAATCTTATTATTGTAACGTTGATTTAAATTTATTTCAGTATTGAATTTGAACTGTTTATATTTTTTTTAATCAGATTTGAATATACAGTATTTTTTTTTTTTTTTTTTTAAATATTAACGGTGAGGATACAGTATTTTATATTATTGTAATATATATTTATAAATATATATATTTTATATTACGTATTCAACCAATTTAATTAGTATTTAGATTACAAATAACTATGTCTAAGTCTTTAATCATAATATTATTTTGATATAAAATTCAAATTTAAGTTTTTTTTTTGTATATATATTTAATATTAAAATTAGTATTAGATTTTTGAGTTAAAAAAAAATTTTATTTTAAAAGCAATTAAAAATAATATTTAAGAAATTAATAAAACATAAACTTATAAACAAATAATAGCAAACTTAAATTGAAAAAAATTTTTTTTTTTTTTACTTAAGCAGTTTTGCTAGTCATCTTGATTATGATTTTTGTATTATACAATACAATTTATATAATTTTTGATCTAATATTTTATGAATACTTCTAAGAGTCTTATGAGCAATTTGTTTATATTGACTGTTTAACTTCATAAGAAATTAGAGTACATCAAGGGTTAAATCTGACTATTACTTTACAATAGAATATGTATCACCAATTTGATAACATCTTATAGAAAAATAAATAAAACCAAAAAAACTAATATATAAAAAAAACCAAAGTATAAAAGTAAACAATAAAAAATACAATACAAGAAATAAAAAGAAAAAAAAAGAAAATTAAAAGAAAAAAAAAACCACATATAATTTTTATTATACTATTATCAAATGTTTATAGTTATAAGTCTGTATTAAATTTTTAAAGATTATAAACTATACTAAATAAAACTATTTCTACTATTTTTCTATTATTTACTTAAAATATTTAATAAAACTATATAAAAAAAAATTTCAACTTAAATTTAAAAAGTTAGTACAAAATACTAGTTAGTCTAAAGATAGTGTTTTATAGATTTTTAGCTATTTAAAACATGTATATAAATTATATTTATATTGCAATATTGTTTTTAATCTATATTATTAACAATTCTGTTTAGGGGTGTGGCAACCTAGTGAAGTGAATAGGTTGTTAACCTCCAAGTGGCAGGTCTAAGGTTCAATTTCCACGAATGATGAATTTTGAAAATTATACTCGTGTTACAGTAACTGTTTCTACTGATCAGTTGGGTTTTGGGCATCTGTAATCTTAGATACACCAAGTCAGGCTTCACCTGACATTGGAAGCTCAGAGCATTTATGTGAAGTGTAATGTTACATGGTACATGTACATAGAGGAATATGAAAACTGGTGTCGTATAAGGCTTCGGTGCAAACCCATGATAAAACCCTGGGCGTAGAAGGCTAAGAAACCGAAGAGATAGAAACTCACTTGGAAATCCTGAGTAAAGAGGTAGCACAAATTTTCGATGGTGCCATTGGACTAATGGAAGCCCATGAGACACCTTCATAGGAACTGTCAGATAAACTAGATGACAAGATGTATAGAGGAGCATATGATCAACCAGGCCGCCAGAATCGTCAGAGGAAAAGGATACATAAGTATACTATATTGGGCTATCTGGATTGGAAGTCTGGAGAGTCAGATAGTTCCGAGTTGCAGCTAGTAGGGGATGATGAAGAAGAAGTCAGAAAGATGGACACCAGGGTTTGGGTGAACTTTACAAGGGTAATAGCAGTTTAAGGGGTAA